TCAAATGACGGCTCTCTGGGTCAGCGATGATCTTGAGGCTAACCTGGGGTGAGGAGGGCTGATCCACCCGTCCCCATCCACCCCCACCCCACCGTCCTCAGCTGTCCCACAATGTGTTGCTGCTTGTCACTGAGGAGAAGTGGGACACTGTTGCCAATGACAGGGCAATCCCTGCAGACATACACTCACACAGTCATATGAACACAGAATTGTAAACAACTGAGGATTTTTATTTTATTTTTTAGTATCATCAGTTAAGTTAGTAATTTTAAATAGAACAACTATTTATTTCAGGTTAATGATGTTTACTCATCTAATAGTTGTCACAAGAGTAGAAGGCAAAATCCCCTAATAGGTATTGATATTGTAGGTAATGTGTAAAAACATAAAAGAAATAATTTTCTTATTACAAGAAGTATAATTTCACACTTTAGTAGTTTGAAAAAAATGTTTGATCTAAATTATTTATGATTTATTCAAAATAAGCTTCACATTAAGAATATACTTTTTTTCTAGAAATACAAATGTGTAAATATATATATACATGTATGTATGTATATATATATATATATATATATAAGTATTTTTTTAGATGACACAAATCCAGTTCTATTAGAATTTTTTCAAAATGAGAAAGACAAGCAAACATGCCATTTTAAATATGAATGATTTCTTTTAATCTTCATAAATCAGGACATGGCTACAAGAGAAAAGCTCCCACTTCCCACAACAGGGATACATGTAGTTATAAAAAAATATAGTAAAGATGACTTTACCATGTGTGAACATGAAACTGAGACTAAAAAATAAAAGGTGAAAAGACATCTCCATAACAGATGTGAAATATTTCAAGAACAACATGGGGGGTAACAGTTTCCTTTTGCTTATTTGCATTATCCTGGAAATGTTATGTCACAAGAGGCAAAAACAAGGTAAGAAAATATGGCGTTTGACGAGGCTGAGGCCAATTGAATTAATTGATATCTGGTTCACAGACATCAATTGATTCGAGTTGGGAGGACTGATCAAAAAAGCCAGAGCTATGCCATCTTTGTTTAGGGTAAATTCAGATTGTATAGCTTAAAAGTGGCTAAACAAGGACAAAATTTGTTGACAATATCAATAAAAACACATTTTCTTATTGGCAGTAAGCAAGGAGAACAAGACTAGGTGAGGGCTCATATTTATTCACATAGAACAGTAATAAAAAGATTTAAATTTTTTCCCAACTTTCCAGTGTTATTTATACTATTTACCACGTTTCTGACTTCTTTTTATTCAGTGGGGGATCTCAGTCAGTCTTACTTTCTTGCATCTTAAGGACTATGTTCATTCTAGTGAGGATTTGCTTGCATGTTTGATTCTCCAGCACACACACGCACACACACACACACACACACTTTTTAAGTTTTGCTGACAATGGGTTAAAATTACAGAGGGTTATGAGTGACTCTGACACACTGTCGACCCCCTCCCTGCTTCACCCGTGAGTCCAACACGGCCGTCTTTGTGCTCCCTCCACCATCAGTGAAGATCCATCACAGACTAACCTGACAGCCAACGGCAGGCCTCTGCCAAGCTCCAGCTGCACGCTCTGCTTCAAGCCTGAAGCCAAAACTTCAACTGTATACACCCAACATCCTGCCAGCTCCAGTAATATCGATACTTGAGCTAAAACAAAACAAAAACATATGTTATCTCTCAAAAACTGAAATGGTTTTATTTTCTCTTATTTTTATTTTTGGAAAATCAAGAATTTACAGAAAAGGATCAAGAATGAGAAACAAAAAAAGCAGGGAGAAATATACTTGTGTATGTAAAATTTTACCTACTTTTTCACAGGTGAAATTGAATTTCTACTTTTCGCGCACATTTTAAATGAAAAGCAAAATATTACTGAGGCATGTTTGGCACTTTCTTCTGCTCCACCTTTAGTGGAAACATTTGGTGTACTTCTAAAAGTTAAATATGCCCCCATTTTCACGTGGCAGAGGATTCCAGCTGCTCGAAAGATCACAGCATAATTTCTGTCATATTTGTTGTTACATAATGCGATGCACGTTTTCTAGGTGTGAGGTTGTACTCGGGAGCAATCTCTTTGAATGCCATCCTACCTTGAGATGCTGAGAATAAACTTTGGTTTTCACTTGTTGAAAGGTCAGAAAAAGAAAAATATTTAAAAATCTTCCTAAAACTGATAGCAATGTAAATGTTTGCACTTTATTTACCACAACTTTCACTGTATATTGTCGTAATATGTGATGTACTGTTAGTTCATACATTGATTTTACAGTTTCTGGAAGTTTTTTCTTCATTTACCCCCAATTAATGTGTCGCTAGAAAAAAATAAAGAGAGTTTTCGAGAAAGGCCAATTGGTTCAATATTCCTCACTCAATTTGCCACCGCAGAGTTTGGCTACAAAATACTGCATCCAAATTCTTCTGGCACCAGCAGGCATTTCCTGTTAGCCATAAGTGTTGCAGTGATAAATCTATGACAGTGATACAAGAGACGCAGGGATGTAGCACATCTTAAATGGTGCCTGTCATTCCGCTGCGGCATCTCTGCTGCTGGAAGTGTGTGTTTTGGCTATGCTTCCATGCTAGCGGAAGCCAGTCAGAATTAGCTGCTGATCTATGAGGTAAGATGTGTTCTGGGTGGATTAACACCTGCTGGCTAAGCTAAAACTATGAGTGACTGGAAGAGGTCAGGAGAGCCAAAGCCATTTCCTCTGCACAGTGGTCTCATCATTGCCCCTTGATTTCAAAGAGTAAATTGAGCCAGAGTCATCCTGGTGCTAAACTTACTTCTCTGTTCATGCCTGCCCAGACCTGCTATATACAGAGCTCAGAAGTGACACTTCTTGCATCACATTGTGCAATTCCCCTGGGAAGGAAAATAGAATATGACACCCACCAACAATGGATTACGCTTCAAAGGTATAGTTCAGGATTTTTGAAGTAAGATTCTGTCAAAATTTTATAAGCAGTTTATAGCTTACCTGCAGCAGATAGCTCTCACAGCTTCTTTATTAAGTATAAATCCATATTCATTAGTCCCTGAGGATGAAACTAAAGGTTTGCGCAAGAAGGGCTGAGACCAAATTGAAACGCTTACCGTCTTAAAATAACTCTAATCTTAAGAATGTCATTACAAACCTTCAGATATTTATCACATTTGCAGCAGAAAGGTTATTTATCTCAGAAAAGATTGTTTTATTGGGAAACTGAGATTCCCTATAAAACATCAATTACATTGATTGATGTTTTATTGGAAATTAAACATCAATTACTGTCCCCAAGTTACTGTTGCTTTTGCAGTTCCTGCTGCAAAAGTAACAGAACAACGAAAGCAAAGCAAAATAAAGATCATTAAAAAAATCAACAAAATAGTGCTCCCAAACTCTATAGCATTACTGCTTTTTTTTACACAGCTCTTCTTTAATTTTACTCTGGTTACTCCGACCAGAAATGTTTTGCATGTTCCATTCTGACTGTATGTTTTACAAATGGAGATCATTCATGTGGAACCACCTCCATTATATACAGAGAAACCAGAATAATATTTTACCTTTAAGATGTCAGAAGTACATCTTGGTCCTGGTCCCTTTCAGATAACCTGCTAGCTTCAGTCTTCAGGATCAACAAATCTGGATGTTTTAAGTGACTTTGTGATGAATTATTATCACACCTACAGTCTACATATCTCTTGATTTCATAGTGGTGTTTGCAGGTGCTCTTTCATAATATTTACACAGATTATAAAGATTAAAGCCCTTGAAGTAAAGGTAACAATGATCTTCCTGTGTCAAATACAAAAATAGATCAGCACATGTGATCCCAATTGATCTAACTAATTTAAGGTGATGGCTGTAAAAAAATTCATTCCCTCTGGATCAACTTTAGGATTGGTCTGTAATTTACACACAATCTGATTGTTATTACTTGGAAAACAGTGGCAGGAAGCAGTGCTCCACCAATGATCTTTCAGTATGAAGCACACATTAACACAGGCACATCTGAAGCTTTTGCAATCCAAATAAAATAGTAGGGCACAGTAAACACTAATGGAATAGTTCAATATTTTGTCATTCACACAACTTTCATTTCTCCGTCAAATGAAATCTCTGAACGGAAATATTTTACATGTTTCTTACAGGAAAATCACACGTGGTGCAAAATCTTCAAACTCCATTTCATGTGCAAGTTATCAACGTCTTCTGTGCACAAAAGTCCCCACTGCAAAAGTGACAAGATTCACAAAATACTGTCTCCGCAGATCAGTATTGTACCACAAAAAATGCTTTTATCCTGGCTGCTTTCAGTATAGCTGTTTGCTTGAGCCTCTAAGAACAACTAATCTGACTTTGTACAAAATGAAGACACCAACAGAGTTATTTCATACAGGTAATATATTATCTTTTTACAACCTTTTCACAGAACCTCATTCAAAAATACTCTCCCTGTAATGCCACTATGTTTACACATTCATGGACGTTCATTGTGAACCTGACATTGCCTTTGTGACCTAGTTTTTGAGTAAACAACTATCTCTGGTCACAAACATCTTCTCATCACTACAAATTATTCGATCCTAGTAGAGGTGACAGCTGCCTCGAGACTCTTCCTACCTCACTGACTCCACCCTCCCCCATGGAAAAGCGTCTTTTTGTTCCGCGTCATGGAGGAGAACGCAAGTCTGGGATTAACTTATTAAGGCCAACATCTTTGATCTGCGGTTATCTCTTCCACTTCCACGGCAACTTGATCGTACTGTGGCTTCTTGGCGCACACACTCGCGGGCAAGTGCTCAAACCCACACACTGAAACACATGAATGGGCCTTAAAGCCCTAGAGAGCATGGCCCGAAAGAGATGTGAAGTGTAGATGTGCAGCAACAGCTAACCATCGTGTCAGGTTTCTGGGGGCTCGTGCTAAATTTAACCCTGTGATCCTGCAGAAGGCAGAGGGGTTTAAATGCCAGCCTACAGTTGCTCCACACCAGTTGTTCACCACACGTCTTCCACTCATCGCAAACTCCGGCCAAGGGGAAGACAGCGCACACGCGTACAGTCCAACACACATCCCAGAGGCAGGAACGAAGACCACTCATTGAAGAGCAGCGGCAAACGAAGCAGGGACTGTTGCCCCTTTACATCGAGAGCACAACACGGGCCAATATGGAGCTCTTTGAGACCAACCCATACTTCTTTCCTGATCAGCGATTTTATGAAGGAGGGGACAGCTACTTCCCCTCTCGCCTATCTGGGACATACGACCAAGCTGGTTACCAGGACAGAAACTCCATGATGGGCTTGTGTGGGAATCTCGCAGGAGGTGCCAGTGTCGGAGTCGCAAGTACCGAGGACAAAGCATCTCCCTCCAGCCTGTCACCTCATTCTGAGACCCACTGCCCTGGTCAATGCCTGCCCTGGGCCTGTAAGCTGTGCAAAAGAAAGACTGTGACCATGGATCGCCGGAGAGCAGCGACGCTGAGGGAGAAGAGACGCCTGAAGAAGGTGAACGAGGCCTTCGATGCTCTGAAGAGGAGCACCTTGATGAACCCCAACCAGAGGCTGCCCAAAGTGGAGATCTTGCGGAGTGCCATACAGTACATCGAACGGCTTCAAGCGCTGGTGTCCTCTCTCAACCAGCAGGACACTGAGACAGGACAGCAGGGACTGCACTATCGACCCACCCCGACCCAGCCCCGAGTGAGTACAACAGGAGTGGGATAAAGAGAGCCAGGATGACAGGCAAAAGTGGATGTGAATGTAGAGAAAAATGGCTGAGAGGTTGTTGGGAATTGAGAAAAACAAACTGTAGAATAAAAAATAATAAAGTGGGTGATTTTTAGATGTCGGATGTTAAATCTTCTAAATAAACAGGCTCATGTTTTAGTCAGATATGCACTTCTCAAACTAACGTGGCAGGTTTCAAAAACATAAATCTTTTGCGCTGGATTTTTGTGTGCAGTTTTTCATGATAAGTGACTGACAGAAACTTCTGCATGTGTGTCTTTGTGCTAACAGGTGTCGTCGTCCAGCGAGCCCAGTTCGGGGAGCACCTGCTGCAGCAGCCCCGAGTGGAGCAGCACTCCGGAGCAGTGTCCGCCGAGCTACAGCGGTGAGGGTGAGCGCGGCCGAATATGAACTTTCACCGGATCCCGCAAACAGATTAGTGTTTTGTCGACGGTACTGACTGTGTGATTTGGCCTCTCTCTCTCTCTTTCTTCAGATCTCCTGAGTGCTGCTGAATCTCCTGAGCAGGGGAACATGCAGGCCTTGACTTCCATTGTGGACAGCATCTCTGCTTCAGACGGATCTGTGGCCTTTCCTGTAGACATTCCCAAATAGACCTTTCAAAACAGTGGGAACACAGATGTAGACGCACAGAGATCCATCAATTATAGAGGAAATATAGCTAATTGGTGATGCGGTTTGACTGGAGTACTTATTTTGTTTTAGTGAATCTACAAACTTTGGTTTTCTGTCTTATGCAAACAATCGAAAATCTGAATTAATGAATTTTCACTGCAACTCTACTGTGTCTGCTGGCTAAACTGAATTCCTCCTTTTACAATGAGGCCCTATTCCCTGTATTACATGCCTTATCTTGTGGTCCAGTCCTGTTTGTCAGAGCTACAGATGCTCAGTCTAACTTGAGATTCAAAGATTTTGCTGCATGAACCCAAAATCCTATTTATTAGAGTGAATCTCTGTTATCCAGACTCACAGATGGATTGTATTGTTCTAACTTAATTTAAGTTTTCCTCTGTATCTTTGATTCTTTTTGTGTGAGTTCAATGCTTAAAAAACAAAAACAAAAAAAACATGGATTTATTTGTGGGGCCAATATGTACCATGGCAGTTTTGACCAAGATCTGCTTAATTTAAACAGGTTATAAATGCTTTTGTTGTAAATATGTTCCCCTTTTTTTACAGAGTGGTTTTGCCATTTTATTTTTTATCTTTGCTAACTTATTTTTGACTTTTATAACTAAGATTGTTGTGTATTTGTAGATGTTCTGAAAAGTGATATTGTTCTGTTTTAATTCTCGGAATAAAGATGGTTTTCAATAAGCTTTTTTTGTGGCTTTAAAGTTCTGAGGACTTCAGGAAGAAACAGAGTCACAATTCTTTAAAAAACAGCTTTACTCATGTCTATATAGTGTCATAAATACAGTACATTTTTTTCAGATGGCCAAATAATAAAATCTTGATTTGTCAGCATTGTTTCACACCTGGAATAAAGACACAGTACTCATAGCTGCCACATAGCACATTACACCTTTTAGACACCTTGGAAAAATCTGTAAAATAAATAATAATAATAATAAAAGATTGTACAGCCATCCAGCAGTTCACGAGTTCATATGCTGTGTTCTCATTGGAGGAGGTGGTCAGCTGGGTTTATGGACTGCCCGCTGGCATTTCTTCACAAAAACTGACCATGAGGTGGTAGAGCAGAATAAGACATGTCTCTGTCATCTACACTGTCTTACAAAAGTAATCATACCCCTTAAACTTTTCACATTTTCTCGCATTACAAATAAAACTATCAGCATATTTTATTAATTCCAAGTTGTGTGTACTAGAATAAAAAAAACCCTTAAAAGCGTGGCATGCATTTTGATTTAGATCCCTTTACTCCTCAAAGAGCAAGGAACGCAACAGACAGATCAGAGATGAAGTTGTGGAGACGCTTAAAGAAAAATCTCAACTGCAAACATACCGACACGGCTAAACTGAAAGGCCAAGCGGGGGAGAGAATTAATCAGGAAAACAGTCGAGAGTCCCAAGCAATTTATGCATGAGGGGGGGGGGATTAAAATGCATGCCACACTTTTCAGATTTCCTTCTGTGAAATATTTTGAAAACCATGAATCCTTGTTCTGTCACTACACAATTTTAAGCTCGTTCAAGTTCATACATTGCATAAAATCCTGGTTAAGAAAAAAACAAACAGAAAAAAACAAACAAATAAATAAAACATTTATTTTGTGACTGAAATATGACAAAATTTCAGATATTTTAAGGGCTATGGATGCTTTTGAAGGCCAGTGCAGAGCAGTGCATGTCACTGACTGATATTGAGCAGCAATTTATTGTTTGACATGAGAGAAAGTTTGGAATTGACAGAAGTGAGCTACAGTGTCCACACTAAAATTCACACACACAAAGAGTCAAAGTCACATGGTTAGGGTCGGCCGTTCACACCCACAAACACACGCACCCATGCACACGCACATGCACACACACACACACACACACACACACAAGCACAAGCACACTTGACCCCTTCAAAAGTCTCCAGGAGATAGGCTAATTTGCTCAATCTCTCTCTCTCTCATTCACACACACACACACGCACACACACACTCCCTACTCATGCCTCTCATTAAATTTCTCTCTCTAGGCTACATAGTGTCATACAGAAGGCGACAGAGGCGAAGAGAGGAAGAGAAATTACAGCTACATCGTGTCAAAAGGTTTGGTGGGGGGGACAGAAGAAGAGGAGAAGAAGAGAGAATTGGACCCATGAACCTGTGAGGAGTCCTTGTAAAAACACACACTTCTTTCAGTGAGTCCCTCCCACCAATTAATCACACAAACGCACAGCAAACGACACGCAAAGGTCCAACACAGAGAGAAAGGGAAAGGAGGAGAAAGAGAACAGTCACTATTGAATACAGGGCATTGGGTTTCAAACAGCAATATTATATTACTTTCCATATATATTTCCAATATATATATATTATATATATAATATTTCTATAAAAAACATAAGTCATCCATTTTTCTGTACAGAGATGATAAATGAGTAATACCTTGCATAACCGGTAAAAGGTTAATGTGCAGAGTGATCTGCCACTTATACAAGTATTCATCACTCTTGAGTCCGAAGCAACAACTTGCTCGTCATCTCCTTAAATCGTTTTCACAACCGTCGTGTTAACACAGGAAGATTCGTTTGGTCTTGGCCGTTTCAGGACGATCAGAACCAGGACTAGACCCCACAGCTGAGACGAGGAGAGCAGGAACACGACACCACAACAACGAGGCTACTGGGAGCACTGGGGTAAACAAGGCGAGACCGGGACGAGCCTCCTTTACAGCAGCAGCGGAAAGCAGCCAACGAGCGCTCTCGGAGAGCAAAGGTCAGAGGTGCCCCCTGTATTGCACGAGTCCGGGGGGGCGGGGAGGAGAGAGATGTGGAAGGTGGGAGGTGAGGCTGGGCGTGAGAGGGGAGAAGACTCCGCCCTCTCCTGGCGCACCCTATCCTTCCCTCTCCAGATTTGGCATATCACTCTCAAAAGGCCGCAAGCATGTGTCCGTACAAGTAATGAGAATGCACTGGAAGAGCATTCAGAGGCAGGATGGCAGTATGAAAGAAAGGAGAAAGAAATTAAGACTTTATCATTGAGTGTAACACTGTGCAAATATTTCAATTATTTTTTATTTATTCGTGCTTATTCGTACTTTGTTTCCATGAAGACTCATATTAACTTCTGAAGGCGTTTCAAAATCTATTCTGGAAAAAATGCTGCTGCCTGCTGAAAATTTTTTACTAATATTTAGAAGTTTATTGTAAGATTATTTTAGTAAATATATTTGAGTAAATGTGACTTTTTTTTATTTTACTAGCCTCTCACTGGACAGTATCACTGACAGCTCCCTATTGGACCACAGGTTGATAGTTCACCAACAGACCTAGAAAACACAGCAAACTTACCTGTTAGCACTAGTGCTCCTGTTAATAAGCAGGGTGCCGTTAGCAGGAATAGGTCCGCACTGCAGAGGGGTCAAGTCTCGGAGGCGCAGGGGGAGGAGCTTAAGAAGGCGTGGCAAAGTAGGTGTTGAGCACAGCACGACACAAAGGACACAACATGCGGTTAGTCAGTCAGTCTAGCCACAGAGTAGGAACAAACCTTCAGGCTGAAGTTGCTTCTTGGCAGCCAGATTCATGGAAGGCGGCATTGACATGGCAGGCATGCGGAAGCCAGCAGGCAGCGTCTCCATGGAGCCTGCCATCATCCCCAGACCCGTCCCTCCCTCACGAGCCCGAAACCTCTTGCGCCACGAGGGTGAGCGCCGGAATGACTTGTCGTCTCCGCTCTGTGAGAGGAAAATTAGAGAAAAGCGTGCTGTTTATAAAGAAATATCGTCTGAGGATGCAACATATAGAGGAGCAGTTAATCTGAAAACATAACACAGCCTGAGTAAAAGCAATCACCACCAAAGAGAAAAAGTTCTTGCAAAGTCACCTCCTCCAGTCGGCGGTCTGTTCCCAAGGCTAGAAGGTTGTTAAACTCCCTCTCTAGAACCTGCCTTGCCTGGAAAACACACAGAATCCAATCAAACCTTGATCAAGCATAATGTTAATTTTGCCTGACATACAGTGTTGTTTTTCCCCTTTGCAGTTCAAACAGCTCAGGGAGGCCTATTGTACCCGGCACACGACGCTAACTGTAAGTAAGGGGAGGATCCTTTGTGGATTTTGACTGAAATCTAGGAAATCTGAAGGCTAAATCAACACCTCAGACTTTGAGCCCCTCAAACTGTTTCTGAATCACAGCTGGTTTATGGCAGGGTGTGTCACACCTACTGACAACGGTCACACGGGCACTCGATAAAATAATCAGCTTCACTGTATATACTCATATTATTCTCTGTACAAAACTGTTCAATTAAAATTTGGCAAATGGTTTGAAGCTTCAAAAGCCCCTCATGGTCCCGTTAATATCGATTTATTCTAAATTAAGATGCCAAGAGAGTTGAAACTAACTTCATAATAACTTATGAACTGCTTGTACAGAATTTCACATCATAGATCCTGACCCATTTACTTAAAACTTTACTACATGTAACAACCAGACAAAGCAGAAGTAACAAATTAAATGGGATCATACACGTAAGCCATACATGGCTGTTTCCTGCATAACCACCTGTGTGTTTTGCATGGGGATCTGCAGGATGAGCGCGAGGCTGCTGTAATCGAAAGTCTCATCGAGAGCGACGAGCGCCCCATGAACGCCGCTCTCCAGCAGGTTGCCGCTGTACTCCCTCAGACCGATGGACTGGACCCAGTGGATCACCTGTTCGTTGGTCCACACCAAAACGTCTGAAATAAAAAACGGAGTGGTGGCACAGTATTAAATGAACACTTTCCCTAATGTGTCTCATAAACAGCAAATAGAGGCGTTTAGTGAAAGAGGTAATGTGCATGTCCGCATGGCGTCAACTCTCTGGCACACTCCCTTTGTTCACTTGAAGCACAGCTGTCAGCCAGCTTTCCAAGTTGGAACAGGCGCAACGTGTGCGCGCGTGAGTGTTTATGTGTGCACAGAGTTGGACTGTGATACGGAGCGACAGCTGAGTCAAGTTCATGCGCTGAGCTCAAGGTCAAAAGGGCGAGAGGGACGGCTGGATTTAAATGTGTGCGCCAGCGTGTGTGTGGGGCACTCCACACGCAAGTGGGGCTTTAGATCACAAGATTTGCTTCTTGATAGTTTAAGGAGCACCTGTTATGGTGCCAAGCACAAATTGACACTATCGGATGAAACCACAAGACGGTTCTCCAGAAACACTCTTTTTCTGATTAAACAGGAGAGCCTATTTATGCTTGTAGGCGTGTTTGCGTTTGCTACACATGAGGATGACTGTGTGTAAATGGTACCTTTCATATCGTGTTGACTGTCTTCTCTCCGACGGTCCAGCTCTTTCCTGTCATAATTGAGTCTCTTCAAGCACATAATTCCATACTGCAGACTAGCCCTAGGGCACATAAAAAGCACACACACATAATGAATCAGTATCCTTGCCATCTCTGTAGCTCGCTCATGCATCAAGTCATCACATGAAAGGTAGAGCAGGTTCAACAGCTGCTAAGCTGAGCATCACAGCCGCAGACCTGTGAAAGCTGTCCACCATCTTCAGATGGCTTCTCAGGTCCTTTTTGGTCAGATGGTCCAGCATGCGCGCGTCCACCAGGCACTCCATGAAGTAGGAGCGGTACTGAGGCAGGCCGAGGCTGGGCAGCCATTCGTTTCCTATCCACTCGTGATTCA